TTGTCAGGAGGGACCAGTCGCTGGAGAAGGATATCATGTTTGATAGGGTGGAGGGTCAGAGAAAATGGGGAAGACCCCCAACGAGATGGCTTGTCCAAGTGGCAGCATCGATGAGCTCAAGCGTGGCAACAATTGTGAGGTTTGCCCAGGATCGGGCAGTGTTTGATTCTGTTGTGCATAGGGTCGCTATGAGTTGGTACCGACTCGATGGCACCTAACAACAACAACAACAGCAGAGCCTGTGGATTCCTGGTGGTGCAGTGGGTTGAAAATTGGGCTGTTACCTTAAAGACTGGCAGTTCAACACCACCAGCCATCGGTTTCTTGGGGACAGTATGAGGCACTCTGCTTCCATAAAGATGTACAGATTGTGAACCTGTGGGTCAGTTCTACGGTGCCCTCTAGGGTTGCTCTGAGTCAGAATGTGCTTAACAGCGCTGGGATTTAAGGGTTTAGCGGGGCCTGATTGCTACTTGGCCAGGTATTTATGGGCTCTGGGAATCCTCCTAGGAGCTGATATTCCATCTCAGCGTCTCTACAGCGCCAAGCTATTGGTGGGTGGACTCAAGTGTTGATTCAACTTCATTTCTGGTAGATCTGATAAATGAATCTTTTCATCACATTAACTTGGAGGAGGCATGGGAAAGGCAGACACAGATGAGGGAAAGATTGTGAGCGTGTTAAAGTTTTTGTTATATTCGCATTTCCCTGGGGAGAACATCACACACCATGTCTAAAGGCCAGTCAGGGGTTGAACAGTCAGGGACAGGCTAGCTTACAGCTGGCCAGAATGGTGGGAGATGATGCTGTAGGGCACACAGACAGGGTGGTTAGGTAGGCTGTGTGAATTCTGGGGATCAGACACTTTGAATATTTCTGCAGACTCTGAGGTACCGGGGCTGTCTCTGGATGTAGGGTATCTGGCCCCAGGGGTGAGTAGCATGGGAGCACAGTGGTCAGAAGTATGAGACCCCAATAAGGGAGTGGTTCTGCTCAAGAAGGGGAACACACCAGACTACTTGAATCGGGTTATCAAAACTGGACCGAGACCATGTTTGTGAACTAGCGTACTATCATAGTGGGGCATGCATGAGCCAGGTTAGATTGCAGCCGAGCACGTTATGCGGCATGCAACACCCAACAGTCAGTGGAAGCGTGTGTGTTACTATGGTGGCCAGCAGGTGTCAGCAGAGCTTCCAGACTAAAGCAAAGCGGGAAGAATAGCCCGGAGCTTACTGCTGAAACCCAGCCCAGGAACATCCTGGCATCTGTGGCACCATGTCATTCCATTGTGCATGGGGTCGCCATGAGACCTGGCCAACTGAATGATAACTAACAACATTTCTGGGACCATGGAAATGCCCCTACACTAATTGGTTCCTTTCTGTTTCCTGACAGAACGACTATCCTTGGAGCTTCCTTTGGAGTTGCGTTTTTCACGCTCATCTTCATCCTGCTCGTCTGCTTTGCTGGACAACTTCTGGTAAACACTTCAGATACGGAGCTTTTGTTGTAAAAGGCTGTTTATTGTAAATAGGGTGAAGGTTGACAGAGCATCATCACTTTCACATTTTACAAATCATGCACACATCCTCACACCTCATTCATTTCAGTCTTCTCAATGTGCAGCATCATTTATCCCACCTCCTGCCCACGTTTCTTTCTCCCGTTCCTCTTCCTTTCCGAGCCGCTCGGGACTGTAACCTCAGGTAAATGATGCACTTTTGGCCTCAAATGGTTGCGTGTTCTATGGCGTGTGTTCCTCGCTAGTGTGGTTGACTATTGCTTGGCTGAAAATTGAGCCCCAGGAATGAGTCTAATTCAGAGCTTGAAGTGTGACCAAAGGCTACAGTTTTGGGGTTTTAGCAGTTTCTGGGAATCCTGCTGTGGCACTGTGGGTTGATGCGCTAGACTGCGAAGTCAGTTTGGTGATTCAAGCTAACCAACAGCTTCTTGGAAACCCTATACAGATTCACTATGATTCAGAACCAATTCAATGGCACTTAACAACAACAATATGACCAGTAAACCTGGTCATTTTTATGATTTTAAGTTTTGTTCCACATTTTCTCTCACTCCTCCAGGACCTTCTAATGTGACCCCTTTCAAAGCAGTTGATCTTGGAAAATGTGTTCATTTGAAGAAAGTGATCCCTTGCTTCAGAGTTGCCAAAACAAGAAGCTTGTCAATTAGCTAATTCAGGAGACACTGAGCCCAGGAAAGAAATGTGTTCACAGCCCAGGATATATTAACTGAGGCAGCTCATAGATATATCTAACCAAGACTTGCATTTGGGGATCATGCTCAATGTTGGGTGCCACACGACTAAATTGTCTGTAGGCTTGTGTGTGTCATCCCCAAGATTTTTTGAGGATCTGAAGTCATGAAGTATAAATGTTATAGGAGGTTTCCAGTTTCCTGGGGAACTGACATTTCAGTCAAATGCATCTTTTACACGCACTTTCACGATATGAAATGTTGGGACATGTGAAAATAACATTTACAGAAGTGTTTTTATTGATGCTTTAACCTTACCCAATCATGCTAACCTCTTATGGCTTAAATGTTAGATGAAGGCACAGTAATGAAATCTCAGCTTATTCCTGAGCCCAGTACGGCTAACTGAACCCAGCTTCATGAGCACACCCTATGGCAGCTGACAGTGAGACACAGTGGTCAGTTGGCTTCAAGTCAGCTCTGTCTCACAACAACTTTCTGAATACCAGAAAAAGTGTTGCCCAATCCTGCAGCATTTTCACATTAGCTGGCATTTTTGAGTGCATTGTTGTAGCTTTTGAGATGATCTATTACACTGATCCAAACATTGAGGTGCTCCCTCAGTTCTGTTGGCCCCTTCTTTACCAATCATGATGCCCTTTTAGGTGCTACGGAGCCTCTTTAAACTACCCCCTGTCTTCAAAGTCTACTTCACAGTAGTCTTAGAGCCCATGCCATGCTCTGTGTCTCAGTCTCATGTGTCTCAGTCTTTGGGCCCAAGAGGGTTCAGATTCCCAAACATGGCTTCTGCCTCTTGGCCTGGCACACTATGTTTCTACTCTTACCTTCTCCTGCTACTCTGGATTTTGTTTATTATAATACTCTTGACCATTTTGAATCTGTTTTACTATGCCAGGAACAACAAATTGAAGAGGAATAGTGTCACATTCATCTTCAAAAAGATTATTTCAAGATCTATCTTAAAGTACAATGCTGTCTGTGATGTGACTATATCCGTGTGGTGATGTGGTTAATGTGCCAGACTGCAAAGCTGTTTGAACTGCAAGGGTGTCGATTCAAGCTCACCAGCTGCTCCTTGGAAACCCTATCCAGGGTCGCTATGGGTTGGAACCAACTCATCGGCACTTAACAACAACAACTAAGTAAACCAGTTAATACCACTACTGTGCAAATTTATGAACCAACCACTAAAGCCAGTGATGGTGACATTGAAGAATTCTGCCAACGTCTTCAATCTGAAGTCAAGATGCACTGATGACGGGAATGTGAAAGTTGGAAACAGAGGAAGGATCATTAGTTGGAAACTATGACCTTGGTGACTGACATACTGCTGGAAATCCCATGATAGAATTTTGCAAGACTAACATCTTATTCTTTGCCAGTACCTTTTGGCGTGGACCTCCCCAGGTGGACTACACAGAAATCAAGCTGGCTACATCTGTGGGAAGAGATAATGGCGGAACTCAATATCATTGTCTTATTCTCTAGTTCCACTGTAATGGAAATACCGCAAGTGGAGGGCTTTAACAACCAAATATGGATTCTCTCACAGTTCAGAAGGTGAGAATTCCAAAGTCAGAGTGTGGCTCTTGGTGAAGGCTTGGCTTTCTCTCTGTTGACTCTGTGCAAGGCCCCTGTCTCATTTCACCACCTGTAGGTGCAGCATTCCTTGGAGATCTCCATTCATCTTGACAGTAATCTTCCCCTGGAGCGAGGAGCTGGGTTTTGGGACCCCAGATCCAAAGGATGCGCTCCACTCCCACTCTTCTATCTTGGTGGTAGTCGGTCTCTTTCTCGGCTTATTTCTCTCTCCTTTTGTATCTCAAAGACACTGGCTCAAGATAAAACCTAACCTTGTAGATTGCATCATACCTTGTTGACATATTATTGTTACTGTTGTTAAGAGTCTTTGAGACAGAAGATACATCTTCAAAGAAACATCATCAGGAAAAACCCAAAACAAAAATGTCAGCATGACTGGCTACTACAAGAATAAGCAAGCTGTTTGCCAGGAAGCCATCAAG